TTCAAACCTGCCGTGTAGAGGAAGAGGCCTAAATTCTTTGGTCCCTGGATCCAGACTCCCTAGGTCCTACCATGCCTGTAGTCAAGAAACCCCCAGATGGGAACTCGCTCCTGGGAGGGAGGGAGGGTGTGTGTGTGTGTGTGTGTGTGTGTGTGTGTGTGCGCACCCTCGGCTGGACCTGACCTCTTCAACAGCCTCCCTGCCCCCCAGGCTGTTTCTCAGCCCATCCTGTGCAGGCCAGTCCCCTGCCCAAGTCTCCTTCTGCTTGCCTCCATTCTCACGTGGTCCCCAGCTCCATCTGTGACCCCTGGGCATTGTCTCAGTGGCCCACTCTACTTACTTAATATTTTCTTTTCAAATCACCTGGCTTAGAAAATCGGTCCCGAGCCAGGTGCCAGTTTCTCACCCCTGAAATCCTAGCTACTCAGGAGGCAGAGATCAGGAGGAGCACGGTTCGAAGCCAGCCCTGGACAAATAGTTTGTGAGCACATATCTCAAAAAATCCATCACAAAAAAAGGGCTGGTGGAGTGGCCCAAGTAGTAAGAGCACCTGCCTAGCGAGTGTGAGGCCCTGAGTTCAAACCCCAGTGCTGCCAAAACAAAAGCAAATCGGCCCCAAGACTGACTGGGCTTCCTATCTCTCACAGTGAAGAGCTACATACAGGAGGCAGAGGGACAAGCTAAGCAACACCTTGGGTGACTTCACCAGCCAGATCCTGACTATGGATGTGCTGAAGCCAGATGGCAAGAAACAAAAGGCAAAGATCAAAAGGGAAGGGGGACCCGCAGATACGAAGTTATCTGAGAGCCATGTGCCAGGCGTGAATCTCGTCAGAACCCTCATTTGAACCAAAGCAATAAGATAAGATGGACTATAAAGGGACACTTTCGGAGCCCACTGGGGAGGCTGAACATTGGAGGCCCTGTGGAGTGGGTGGGAAAAGGCCAACACGACGTGCAAACCCAGCGTAGAGCTGAGGGGGTCTCTGTTGGACGCGAGGTGCCCTTCCCCAAGTAGATCTTGCCAAATTTACTTCAAAGCGCCAACAATAAAGTTAAAAGCAACATGGAAAAGACCGGCTTTCATGCTTGCTCAAGTTTATTGTAAAAGGAAACTTTATCTCAGTGGAAAACTAGTATCGCTTGCTGTAAGTAGAAGGTTACCATGAAAACAAGGCCGTGTTACTCAGGTTCTGACAGACACTGTTTCCTGCCAAAGTGCTGCTGGCCTGACTTCTTGTCCTGGGAGGGGAGGGAGCTCATGTCACCGAGGAGTGACATGAGTGCCCTTCACGGGGCACTGTGGCAGGTGAGGACCATGTACCACACTTTCTCACCTCTGCTTCTCCTCTGTCACGATAGGTATGGTGACACACCTGGGGCAGGGGACAGTTCCACCTCAGCCTAGCTCAGGCTCAGGAACTCACACCTGGCCCCGTCTGGGCAGTGTCGACCTCTATAGCCCCAAAGCTGGAAGTTGCATTGCTAGGTACAAATGAAGAAACTGAGGCTACAGGGGAGCGGGGGACTGTCCCAGGTCACATGGCAAGTCTGAGGGGAAAAACCAGAAAGGACAAGACTCCAGGTTTTCTGAGCTCTGGACTGTGGTTATCTAGCCTGAGTTCATACGTATGTATTGAGCAGCTACTGTGTGCCATGCATGGGGACTGGGCTGGGGACAGGAGTGACCAAGACAGACAAAGTCACACAGAGTTGGCATCTGGAAGTGGGGGTGAGAGAGACGGATGCCAAGCAACTAAGTGAGATCGTTTCCAAGGGTGGGGAGGGTAACAGAAAACAAAGCTGGGTGGCACGAGAGGGGAGGGATGGCTGGTGCTGCCCTAGACAAGGTGACAGGAGGGCCTCTCTGAGGAGGTGGCACTGGGCTGAGGCCTGAGGAAGCAGTCAGGAGAAAGAGTGGGGCAACAGGCTCTTCTGTAAATGTATCTTAAGCTCACCACAGGCCTATAGAGATGTGGGAAGAGCACAAAGAACCCCTGTGCCTCCTTTCCCCCCGGCTAATAATGGATCCTTTTTGTTTTTAAACACACTGCACGCATGCACCTGTGCACACACACTTTTTTTTTTTAAACTGAGAGCGTCTTTCCTAAAAACAAGGGTATTGGCAGACACAATCCAAGTGGTTTTCAAAAGCAGGACGTCAACATTGACTCGCAAGGTCGCCTCGTCGGATCTCATTCACGGCTGCCAGCTGACTGGGTGACACCCGCCATCCCCAGCTCCCCGGTCCTGTGCGTCAGGGTTCAGAGGGGCCACGCATTTCCAGGGTGGCCTTGCAAGGAGAGCCCCGGCCTGGGCCTTTGGAAGTGGACAGTGGAGAGTGGAGGGCAGCACAGGGGTACTACTGTTGTACCTTGTCCTCCTGATCCTGCCGGCTGTGGACAGGCCACCTCAGGGCTAGCAACAGCACTGTGGGCCCACGTTGGAGCCTGGCTCACCAACAGGTACCACTCACAAAAAGAATCCTGTGTTTTTGAACCCAGGGGACAAAGTTAATAAAGCAAGCAAGCAAACAAAACCCAGCTGCTCCGTAAAGCCCCGCTTTGTGGATGTGCTCACACATTCCTGTCGTCCTCAGAAGCCAGCTCTGCGGGCCCAAGGAGGCCTCGGGGCCTGGACGGGCAGCCCCTTTGGAAAGGGCTGTTCCCACAGCACAGTAACGCAGGGCTGGGGGACAAACCACAGCCTGCGCTTACTTTAAAACATGACACTCTGTTTCCTTGGCGGCTGGGTTTTGGCAACCCCTACATTCCATGCCCAGAGTGAACACTCTGCTTGTTCTCTCCACTCATCCTGATGCCAGCCCGTCCTCCAAACACCGGGCACATGGGCTCTGCACACGCTCCGTGCTCCACAGTCTCAGAATGCTACTGAATGGGCCTCACGCTCAGTTCCTAGAGGAAAACAGGGCTCTCAGATTGTTTTGCTAGGGCCGTGCTGTGGTTTGAATGCGTCCCCATGTCCATGTGCCAGGACCCCCAGGGCCATGGCTGGGAGTGGGGCCTGTGAGCAATGATGAAGTCCTGAGTGTATGTGTGGGAACTGCCCAGCATGGTTATATGGAGAGGGCCTGTCCTAAGATCTGCCGTGGGCTGGAGACCCAGGATTGTGGATGGTGTAGCTTCAGACCAGACGCCGGGAGACTTGGGACCCAGGACAGCCCATGTCTGTCTTTCAGCCAGCGTCTAAAGGCAGGAAAATACTGTAGTCCTGATACTCTACTCAGGTCGTCCACTGATTGCATGAGGCCCACGGGCACCAGGGAGGTGTCTGCTCCACCGCTTCAGAAGGCTATCTCATCCAGAAACTCCCAGAATAATATTGAGACTGAACATCTGGTCACCTAGGGCCCAGTCGGTGGACATGTAAAATCACGATGAGACATGGTGTTGTGTGTGTGT